TTTGGGTTCAAAAAATTATTTAAGAAAATATTATAATTTCTTTAAAAAATAAATAAATAAATAATAATAGAAAAGTAAAAATCATCCCTACACAACCCACCCACCCACCCAAAACCTTCCGGTAGGAATCAACTGCCACCACAGTTCGTGCACCAGTTCGCCTACCCGTCCGTCCAACATTTATTTCTGTAATCAACACCATAGATGTCATCTACCCTCTCCCTTTTATTCTGATTTGCGATTTTCATCACTATCATAACTGTCATTTCTCCTATCTCATTCTCTTCCTCAAACATCAATTAAAATTTGTCGATAATCTTATATTGTGGGTTCTTTAGGGTTTGAATTCTTTAACAATTTCAAACAAAAATAATCAAATTGTACTATTCTTGTCGGAAAAAATGGAGGTTCACCGAATTTTTTCACTTGTGATCCAATCTGATTTTATTTTCTTGATTAAATTTCCTTCAACAACTTTAACTCTTTTGAAATTTTCAGTTAGATTTTTTCAGATTTATATCAGTTCGTTTGAATTTTTTTGGTTTGACTGTCATTTGTTTAATAGTTCATTTTATGAGAAGAGAAAATAATTTTAAAAATGATGTTGGTTTTTTTTCTTTTCTACAACTCATGTCAACATTACGAAACAAGACAAACACAATAATGAATGAGTCCCCCACCTGGGGTTGGCACTTGGCCCCCCCCTAATTAAGAACCCTTCCCCTCTTGCTTCAATTATTTAATTGAATAGTATTTTGTCTTCTTGTTGGGTGAAAGTCTTTGTTAGGTGAAAAGTTTTATTTTTGGGAAAAGAGAAAAAAGACAATTTTGCTTCTTCTTTTTAATTAGTTATAATAGAATTTATGTATTATTTTGCATAATTTATTTATTTATGTTTTATTTGTTCTGTCTTCTATCCTGCATAAAATAATATTATATAGATTTCCTCATATTAAAATTTACGCGTATTAGTTATGTGAATTTCTAAATTGTAAACCAAACACAATATATTTTTATACATAAATAACTTACCACTTACCCATAAATGAAACATTTTATTACTTATACACTTGCATAATTCATTTCCAAACCAGCTACCAAACGACCCATAATCAACATCAATAGGTAAAGTAAAGTTCCTTTAGTAATTGAAGATATAAAACATTTATCTTCTCAAATTAATTTCTTAAAATCATTTTGTGGTTCTTTGTTTTGCTTTGCAGATGTTGAAGATATAAATTGACACTGAAAAAATATAAAGTTCTAACAAATTTATTTCGTCGAATCTTTACTTAATAATTTTACTTAGTTAAAATATTAGAGATTTGTAACTTCTGTCAACACACCATTACTATAACAATATATTATACATACCTATTATTATTATCTCCAAAAACATATACTAGAACTGCTAACTTGCTTCTTCAAGGATCTTTTTCACTAAAACATTTTGCTTATATATACCAAATTGAACTCTGTTCCTTTCTCTTTTTTCTATGAAGATAAGTTTTAATTTATTTGATGAGATCAGTTTTGGAATTATATTAACTTAAAAGAGTCGTTTGATACCTGATGCATGTATTAGTAATACATGAATTAGTTATGATGAAATGTAGATATTATTTTATGCAGGAATTTATTATGCTTTGTTTACTTGTTCATGTATTACTTATTTCATCTTTTATCAAAATGTAAAGTTATCATTCAAATAAGAAATTCAATTATGTTAAATTCAAAATTCCATAATAGTATTTTCAAGAATTTTTTTTTTAAAAAAAATAATAAAAAGAACTCTTCAAGATCTGGTAGGGTAAGTTTTTTTGCACTATAATGAGCTACATAGAGATTTGTCATTTTAACTCTTTCATTTTTTAGTCTCCCCCTAATTAAGAACCCTACCCCTCTTGCTTCAATTATTGAATTGAGAAAATAATGAATAGTCATTGTCTTCTTGTTAGTTTTTTTGCACTATAACTACATAGAGATTTGTCATTTTAACTCTTTTATTTTTTTAGTCTCCCCCTAATTAAGAACCCTACCCCTCTTGCTTCAATTATTGAATTGAGAAAATAATGAATAGTCATTGTCTTCTTGTTAGGTGAAAGTCTTTGTCTTTTTGTTGGGGTGAAAAGTCTTACTTTTTTAAAAAGAGAAATAAAGATAATTTTGTTTTTTTCTATTAGTTATAATGGAATTCTATCTATGATTTACTTATTTATGTACTAGTTTGTGGACACGTGTGTCTCAAGCAAGTAGTATATACGATATAAGATATATTAAAAACATAGTGTAATCAATAACAAAAAAAAGTACAAACTAAAATTGATGAACGTAACACTCATCCAATTTGAATGACTTCTTTGTTGACCGATAAATGATTAATTACTATCGGAATTGCGAAATTGAATAACTATATTTAGTTAGATAGGTAAAATGTATAAAATGAATTACATTTTAATGTTATTGGGATAATACATATATTTGACCTTAAACTTGGCTTCAAATTTTAACTTTGACCTTCAACTTTCATAGTGCACAAACAAACACTTTAACTATCCAACCTTTTAATAAATAAACACGCGATTTTTGGAGCCAAGAGCGTGAAATGCAATCGCTGCCACGTGTATTAGTGAGCCACTCAATGGCTGCCAACTAATTAAACACTTTACACGTCCATTTTAGAACTAAAAAAAAAATTAAAAAAAATTAAGGGTAGAGTTGTCATTTCAACATTTTTTTCACTGTTGTGTGCCTAAAAATTACTTCTCACTCGCGCAAAATGCGTGCACGTCACGCGTTTTGCCAGGTAAGACACGCGTGTTTATTTATTAAAAGGTTGGATAGTTAAAGTGTCTATTTGTGCACTTTGAAAGTTGGAGGTCAAAATTAAAATTTGAAGCCAAGTTTAAGGTCCAATATATGTATTATGCCTAATGTTATTAGGTGCAAATATTTTGTCTATAAGGAAGTATTAGTATTAAATATTTGCACATAATAACATTAAGTATTAAATTTCGTGATATAATATTAGGATAATGAACTGTGATACTCATACCAAATAGTAAAACACTAATCTGAATTATTTAAACAAAACCTTGATATGATATTTAAAATATTTAAAACTTCTGTTAAAATTTACAAAATGCAAATAATATATGATTATTAAGAATTTAAAACTAATTATTATAATCTTAACAATTGTGCATGGAAACAAAAGCCCCCAAACAAAAGAAATCCCAATACATGTGCAATCAAAGTATTGTAATAATTCTAATTAACCAAACATGCTATGCATACAAAAAGGGATTAATGAGTTCTTTTCAAGTAATATTCGAGTTAAAGTTGAATATTGCAATGAACATAAAAGGTTATAGCCAGTAATCAACACAAAAAACGGTGTAATACTGATAGTTGAAAGGGAAGAGAGATGGTGATTTTCACCATGATTTTTTGAAATATTATATTATAGCTGATAATTCAAGAGTACTAAAAATTGAATATGACAGCTACTCTAATTTGGCATCAACATTCTGACATACTTCCCATCTCTTTTCTTATGCAAACTATCAGAGGGCATAAAAAGAAAAAGGGAAAACAATGAAATCGAAGATAAAATAATTTGCATTCAATCTCAAAAGTTACAATTAAAGAGGAGATGGGAAATTAGTAAAACTCATTTAGCCTTTATATAATGTTTTTCCCAGTCCTTTGAAATTTCATTTCATTTATTTACTAATGAATTAATTTACTAATTAATATTCAATTCAACTTTTCAACTTCTTTGTAGTTACTGTAGCAATGAAAGGTTGGCCATTGGTTAACAATTAAATAAGTGAACCACCAACGTTTCATATAAAGTTATGGTTATTATAATTATTAAATGCAAACATTTTCTTTTTATTGTATGAAATGTGTGTATTTATATTTTTATATTATAAACTTTTTGAAATAATAGTTGCTTGAAGGTTAAAATGATGTTTAACTTTTAATAGGCCATTTGGTAATTCAATTTTTCTTTTGGAAGGTTTCTACTTGATATAATATGATAATGATCAAAATTTAAATATAAAATGAATAAACCAAAAAATAAACAGGGAAAGAAAGAAAGATGATTGTCATCAATCCCTATTAAATCATTGAATTAAGTGTGATAATTAAAGTATTATTACTCCACTTTCAAATCATCCGTTCAATTCATGTTATTGAAAACTAATTTAATTGAAGATTTTTTTTAATTATGGTGTAAATAAAAATTAGTTTATAAAAAATGATTTAGTATAAGGGTAAAATGGTAAATCAACTTTGAAGACAAGAGCTTTATAAAAAATGATTTAGTATAAGGGCAAAATGGTAAATCAACTTTGAAGACAAGAGCTTCCCACTTTTAATAATAGATGATATGATATGATGATTACTTATTTAATCTTTTATTCTATATAAAATACTCTAATATATATAGATTCTCTAATATTAATCTATATTTGTATTAGTTACGTGAATTTCTAAATTATAAACCAAATACCATATTAATTAATTTTATATATGAATAACTTACCTCTTAATCAACTAACAAATATGATATTACTTATACAGAATTTAACACTTGCATAATTCATTTTCAAACCAATTACCAAGCGACCTATAATTAGCATCAACAGGTAAAGTAAAGTTCCTTTAGTAATTGAAGATAGAAACGTTTATCTTCTCAAATTAATTTTTTAAAACCATTTCGTGGTTCTTTATTTTGCTTTGCAGATGTGGTGCATGATTTGGTAAGTTCCTTTTAGCACGGTAATAATGAAGTATGTAGAAATTTATTAATTGGGGGGGCCCTTTCTACAACCACCCTTATTCTCTTGCTTCAATTATTGAAGTGAAAAAGTAATGAAAAATCAGACTCCATTGGAAAAAAGACAGTTTGCAAACACAGTTGTATCAATTACAAGTAAGAGCACTAGCAAAAGAGAGAGAGTTTGAGAGAAATCACAGGTCATTTCTTGTTTGCAAATTACTCTTAGCATTCAGCAGGTAAAATAAAGTTCTTTACAGACACTATTTGAAGATATATTTTGTCAAAATTCTTAAAGAATCATTTTGTGTTTCCTTGTTTTGATTTGCAGATTTCAGAAATGGAGATTGGGTTAGCAGTTGGTGGTGCATTTGTCTCTTCAGCTTTGAATGTTCTCTTTGATAGGCTTGCTCCTCAGGGTGATGTTCTCAACATGTTTCAGAAGCATAAGCATCACGTTCGGCTCTTAAACAAGCTGAAAATGACGTTGCGTGGTCTTCAGATTGTGCTAAGTGATTTAGAGAATAAGCAAGCATCAAATCCATCTGTGAGCGACTGGCTTAATGAGCTTCGAGATGCTGTCGACTCTGCTGAAAACTTAATAGAACAAGTCAATTATGAAGCTTTGAGGCTTAAGGTGGAAGGCCAACATCAAAATCTAGCAGAGACAAGCAATCAGCAAGTAAGTGACCTCAACCTGTGCTTGGGTGATGATTTCTTTCTTAACATAAAGGATAAGTTGGAAGAAACCATTGAAATATTGGAGGTGTTGGAAAAGCAAATTGGTTGCCTTGACTTACAGGATCATTTTAGTTCACCTAAACAAGAAAATAGAACACCTTCAACTTCTTTGGTTGATGATTCTGATATCTTTGGAAGGAAGAATGATATAGAGGAATTGATTGACCGTTTATTGTCTGAAGATGCAACTGGAAAAAAGCTGACTGTAGTTCTGATTGTTGGAATGGGCGGCCTGGGTAAGACAACACTTGCTAAAGCGGTTTACAATGATGAGAGAGTGCAGAAACATTTTCTTTTGAAAGCTTGGTTTTGTGTTTCTGAGGCATATGATGCTTTCAGAATAACAAAAGGGTTACTTCAAGAAATTGGATCAACTGACTTGAAGGTTGATGACAATCTTAACCAGCTACAAGTCAAATTGAAGGAAGGATTAAAGGGAAAGAAGTTTCTTCTTGTTCTGGATGATGTGTGGAATGACAACTACAACGAGTGGGATGACTTGAGAAATGTTTTTGTACAAGGAGATATAGGAAGTAAGATCATTGTGACGACACGTAAAGAGAGTGTTGCCTTGATAATGGGAAATGAGCAAATTAGCATGGACAATTTGTCTACCGAAGCCTCTTGGTCTTTATTTAAAAGACATGCATTTGAAAACATGGATCCCATGGGACATCTGGAACTTGAAGAGGTCGGAAAACAAATTGCAGCTAAGTGCAAAGGACTGCCCTTAGCTCTGAAGACTCTTGCTGGCATGTTACGCTCCAAATCAGAGGTTGAAGAGTGGAAACGTATTTTGAGAAGTGAAATATGGGAGCTGCCAGACAATGACATATTACCAGCGTTGATGTTGAGCTACAATGATCTTCCTGCACATTTAAAGCAATGTTTTTCCTATTGTGCAATATTTCCTAAAGATTATCCAATTAGGAAAGAACAAGTTATTCATCTATGGTTTGGCAATGGTCTCGTACCAAAGGACGATGGGATAATTCAAGATTCAGGCAACCAATACTTTCTCGAATTGAGATCAAGATCATTATTTGAAAGGGTCCCAAATCCTTCTGCAGGGAACATAGAGGAATCATTCTTAATGCATGACCTTGTCAATGATTTAGCCCAAATTGCATCTTCAAAACTTTGTATAAGGTTGGAAGAGAGCCAAGGATCTCATATGTTGGAAAAAAGTCGGCACTTATCTTATTCAATGGGAAATGATGACGACTTTGAGAAGTTGACACCCCTCTACAAATTGGAGCAGCTGAGGACATTGCTTCCGACATGTATTAGAAATTATTGTTATCACCTTCTAAGCGAGAGGGTGTTGCATAACATACTGCCAAGACTAAGATCCTTGAGGGTACTATCATTGTCTCATTACAATATTAAGGAGTTGCCAAATGACTTGTTTATCAAATTAAAGCTCCTGAGATTTTTGGATATTTCTCGGACAGAGATTAAAAGGTTGCCTGATTCTGTTTGTGCATTGTATAACTTGGAGAGACTTCTCCTGTCAGATTGTTATAAACTTGAGGAACTACCGCTGCAGATGGAGAAGTTGATTAACTTGCGTCATCTTGACATAAGCAACACTTTGATCTTGGAGATGCCGCTACATCTGAGCAAGTTGAAAAGCCTCCAAGTGTTAGTGGGAGCCAAAGTTCTTCTAGGAAGTTGGAGAATGGAAGATTTGGGTGAAGCACAGAACTTGTATGGATCTCTATCAGTTGTAGAGTTGCAAAATGTGGTCGATAGAAAGGAAGCTGTGAAGGCAAAGATGATGGAGAAGAATCATGTTGAGAAGTTATCTTTGAAGTGGAGTGAAAGTAGTAGTGCGGACAATTCACAAACAGAAAGAGACATACTTGATGAGCTATGCCCACATAAAAACATAAAAGAAGTCGAAATCACTGGATATAGAGGGACAAACTTTCCCAATTGGCTGGCTGATCCTTTGTTTCTTAAGCTAGTACAATTGTCGATTGATAACTGCAAGAACTGTTATTCCTTGCCAGCACTAGGACAACTCCCTTTTTTGAAATTCCTTTCGATTAGAGGGACGCATGGAATAACGTATGCAGGAACTCCTTCCATCTCTAAAGCATCTGCATCTGCGGGATTGTCCAGAAATAGAGTCCTTTCCTGAAGGAGGATTGCCCTTCAATTTAAAATTCCTTGTGATCAACAATTGCAAGAAACTGGTGAATGGCCGAAAGGAGTGGCGTTTACAGAGACTCTCCTGTCTCATACAGTTATTTATCTATCATGATGGCAGTGACGAAGAGTTTGTTGGTGGTGAGAATTGGGAGTTGCCTTCCTCTATTCAAACACTTACAATACACAACCGCCCATTGGGCAAACCACTACTAAAATTTGACAACGGGGAATACTGGCCAATTATTGCTCAATTTCCCACCATAAAGATCGATGGGGAATGCATGTGATGATTAAAACGAATGGCTCTTCAACTGATGTAAGCTATTATTTTCCCTTGGAAGCTTTTTATTTCCGTTTACTTCACTTTGCTTTTTTGTTAATTCTTTTCATTTTTAATCGCTAGTTCTGGAAACATGTGTTGCACGTTTATCCCAAAATATTTCATATAATTTTTGTATTGCAAATGACATATTTTATCCCCTTCAAATCTATTGGTATTTACTAAAAAAATATCCACCATTTTTACTATAGAAAGTACATATATCTTCCTAATAAAAATAATACACCCTTAATTATAAAATTGACTAAAAGTGCATAAAGTAAAAATAACTAATTATTGTACAAATACAATATTCAATGTAAATTCTCAATATTAATAACCATAAAACAATAAAAAGTTATACAATAACAACAAACAAGAAACATAAGCATTAAAAAAAAAACAAATAAAAAGAGACAAGAGAAGAGAGCATAGAGAACTTCTTTGTTGAATGAGTGATTAGATATAGTGTAAACCTGCAAAATTGAACAACTCAATATTTCATAAAGATTTAAGCTATATAAAAGATCAAGTGGAAGGTGTACCCATCAATCAAGAATAAGAAACTTGATATTAACATATGACAATATAGTGGAAGTATCAACTCCAACAATCCTTTGTCACAATCTACATATAATTAATATTGTTATTCTAATAATATAGCTTTTTGTCATGCTTTCCCTATTAGAAAGACCCTAATAGGAAAAGACAATAATCTAAAATATTAACTAAGTACTATATACATGCAAAAAATATGAACAACAAATTTATAAGTTATACATACTATTTACTTACCATTAAAAGAAATCTGGACACATTAGTATATGACAGGACATTAAGAGAATCAATATACTCATCTTTTACATCTGTTCACGAGTTCTTTTTTATTTTTTTTATTCTTTCCGCTAAAGCTATTATGTCATTCACAGTGAACTCAGGTCTGCTGTTATAGGCAAGTCTTCAAGATGGGGCTTTACCGCTGATACTATTTCGTGTTTCCAGTGCAAGCCTCTTTTGTAAGTAGAAAAACTCGATTTGTAAATATGTGTGGGACTCAACTAGTGATTAGAGTATTGATTTTGTAAGATTTGTGTCCAGAAAATCAAATTAGAAAGATAACTCGTGATGATTGAATAAGCTCGAAGAAGTGGATTTGAATTTCAAATCGTGTCTTCTTTTTTATGTGTGTGTGTGAGAAATTTGAAGTGTTGTTTAGATTTGTTGGAATAGTCTAAAGAGATTGTCTCTATAAAATTTGAAGTCATTTGATGGAGATCTGATTAGATGATTTTGAACAACAATTGCAACTGAAGATGGATATGTATATTATTTTTATAGTTAGCAACATGTTATATATTTTATAGTGGATATATTATTCGGTGTAGGGTATCTACATTGGAGTCCAACTAAATTCGGATTTGCACATTTCAACGGGGGGAACTCTTGACATGATTTTTTCCATTCCATGGCTTATAATGCTCCTAAATTCTAATTAAGGGTAGAAAAATCTCAACTATTTCACCACTACTCATATGAGTTATATTGGATATACAAATGCAAATATTTTTGAAAAATCCCAAATAACTAAATCTTACACTCATTAACTACAACAACTAAAGCATATTTATAGCCCTCAAATGTAAGTAGAACTCAAATTTTGGCCATGAAATATAAGAGATCGATATATTTTATGTGTAATCTACAGACTTGGATGCTTCATCGACTCACGATGGAACCAGAAGATTCATCGTAGCATCTACAGAAAAGTTGACAGTGAGATGGCTGGCCATCTTCTACTGACTACAATTTTTTGGTAAGCAATGCAGTTTTTGTTAAGATTGATTGATCTGCCGGGTTCTTTTGTCATTCTGGCTCCTCACCACTGTTTTTGCCCTTTCAAAAATTTGTGCAAGTATAACCTTTACCCTTCTGGATAATGTTAGAAATGAGTTTAATCTTTGCTCGTATATTTTTCAACCAAAAATTTCGAAATAATACCTTCTTAAAAGAAGCATAATTGTTGGTGTCACTACTTCAAAATATGAGTTCTTAAGGACTTGTACACTGCGCTAAATTGTAAGCTAGATGGAAGACAAGTTTTGAAAAATCAAATCGAGTATTAAATTTGATTTCATATAGTAATTTCAATGAGTGTTTTAAAAAGTGTGAATGCAAGGACGAGACGTATTTTAAATGACACGGGGTGAAACATAACATGGGGTGTACGACCCATAAGTCTTATGAGTATTTAATTTTTAATATTTTATAAATAAATAAAAGATGAAATACAAAAAAAGAAAAAAAGACAACTTTGTTTTCATATAGAATACTACACAAAAGATGAAACTTTTAAGAAATTGGACTATACAAGTTAAGCTCATTTGAGAAAGAAAATTCCCATATAATTACTTAATTGACACGACACAAGAGAAAACAATAATAACTATGCATTAATCTCAAATAAGTTTGAATCAGATATTTAAATTTTCACGACTCCATTTAAACTCAACTTGTGTCATCATCGTACCAAATAATTATTTTTAACTACTAACAATAAAATCAAAAAGTTCACTTGAGCATTCACACCAATAACAAACTAAAAGTATAAGTTTACAAGTGAAGTCTATGGAGGGTGGTATATATTTAGCTATAACCAAAAGTTGTTTTCGATAGACCCTTGGGCACAAGTAAAGCTCACACAAGATAATTTCAAAAATTAATTATTAAACAAACCAAAAAAACAAAATGTATGAAATTTTGCCATGATTTTCAAAATTCAAAACACATATTCTTTCTACATTCTTATTAAAGAAAAAAGAGAAGGAATATGAAAAAGAAAAGAAAAAGAAAGAAAAAAGAAATGAAAAAACAAATGGAATCAAGAATAAAGGCCTTCGAAAATTGAAAAATAGGCTCGGAACTCAGTCCAAACCAGTTAAATATTAGCTTCGGAAAGCCGTTAGAAATCCGAACCTAAAAATTCTTCATCTTTTTTTCCTCTCTCTTCTTTTTCTCTTTTACTTCTCATTTCTTCTTTTAGATTTCCCTCCTTCGACCAAACCCAAATCAAAACCCTTTTTCTCAGGAAAAAAAAATCAAAGATTTAATCACAGTACTTTATGAAAAAATCTTTACTTCAAAAAAAAAAAAAAAAAAACTAACAAAGTTTTCACCTTTATGTTGAATTTGGGTATATGAGGGTTTGTTTCATAGAAAAAAATTTGTGGGGTTTGAGTTTTGAAGTCATTTCTTGATTACCCAACTTGTGTTTCTTGAATTTTTTGTTAAAAAACCTTTCTTGATTGATTTAGCCATAAGAAGAAATGAAAGGGGATAGAATGGCAAAAAGATCATCTTTTGGAAGCATTGTGAGGAAGAGGTTATCAGATATAACAAATTCTCTTCCACAAACACAGCAAAAATCGCCTATCGATGTCGATAAGGTTTCGCCTGATGTTTCTTCAATGAAGGACTACATTAATCATCTTGCCAAAGTATGGTTCTTTTTTTGCTTTTTTACTTAATGGGGTTTTTATGAATTTATTTTTTATGATTTGTTTTAGCTTACTGAGGACATGACGCTAGATATGAGGTTTTGGAGGTTATAGAGATTAGGATAGAAGAGTAGTAGGTAGAATTGCTCGTGTAGTTTCTTATCCTTTGATTTATGTTACTATGTGTTGATTCCTTGTACCTCGACTATTGTATTGTTTTGTTGTAGTTTTGTTAACTGTATGTTGTTTTTGTTATTATATGTTGTTTGTTGTGCTTCTTGTACTACTTTTTCTGAACTACTTTCGGACCCTTTTTCCTTGAGCCGAGGGTCTATTGGATTCAATCTCTCTACCTTTGAGGTAGGGGTAAGGTGTGCGTGCATTCTACCCTCTCTATATCCCAGTTTGTGGAACTACACTTGGTATGTTGTTGTATTTTTTGTGATTTGTATGTGATTTCTGATTTTTGTGTTGTTCTTTGGTTGCTTGATGCAGGAAAATGTTGCATTGGTGAAAATTGTTCAAGAAAAGAAGTATGTATTAGTGTACACAATCTAGAACATGCCATTTTTTAATATATTTTTTTAACATTGTTACTATCAAGTTGTTTGATGTTTTTCTTATATGATTTGATTATGTTAACAGCAAGATTATAGAGCTGAGTGGACTTGAGCTTCAAAAAATGAGGATTCATCTACAAAAAATGCAGCTACAAAACTGGAATCTTGCTCAATCGAATAGTCATATGTTGGCGGTTAGTTTCTTCTTTCTCTTCATAGTAGTGTTCTTGCATTGAGGATAAATTACTCAAAATTAATTTACGATCCTTTACTGATTAATTTTGCAGGAACTCAATTTGAGCAGAGATAAGGTAAAAATACTTTCTTTAAAATAGATTGTTACTTAAAGGGGAAACTAGAGTTCTTTGTTAAACAGGAACTATTAATTTGTTCTGTACCAGATGAAATCGCTACAACATGAGCTGGTTTGCAAAGAAGTACTACTTAAATCGCGGACGTTAGAAGAGGTAAGGATTTTGTACTCTCTCAAAATTTGTTATTGCTTGCTTAAAGAAATATTGATGTGTAAAATTTTAGGTGCATACAATCTTGGTCTTGCTTAAGTTCATCTTGGCAATAGCATGAAGTTTCATCAATTTGTGTTTGAGTGGAATAAGTTACCTTTTTATGTTCAATTTGGTAATGCCTAAATTCATTTTGGCAATAGCATGAAGTCTGATCTTTGAACAATTGAAAACTACTTCAAAAAATTCTGAACTTATACTTAGTTCAGGAGTAGTGTAGCTTTCTCCTCTTAAAATGTTTGTAGGGGTTGAGATGTTAAAAAATGTTTGGTTTTACTTGTCTGGATGTGTGAAGGAAACGTTGATAGTTCAATGTAGACCATCACAACAACTAATGTGTGCTTAGATAGATAGCTTATATTTTATGCGACATAATGTGACATCTTCATTACTGTTATATCATCTTCGTTACCAGTAGTAGTAGCACCATTCTCATAGTTTCTTGTTCGTCAATTGCTGTTATCATTTACTTTTCCTGTGCTTCGGCTATTGGATTAGTTAGTTGTTGTTACTGTTCTTTCTCTATATGCTATTTACTGCTTTCCATAGCGATCTTTTTTGTTGTTGTTACTGCTTTCATTTTCATACTCTCTTTTCTCAAATTGGTTTGAGATGCTTTACTTGAGCCGAGGGTTAATGTATGCATACACACTCTACCCTCCCTAGACCCCACTTGTGGAATTACACTAGGTATCTTGTTGTTGTTGTTGTAATGTGACGTGTTCATTTATCTCTTGGATGGAGTTGATAAGCTTCTAGCTTCTAATTGTGTTGAACAGAGAAAGTATTGTTCGATAATCTCAGAACTAATTACACTTTGTTCGGTACATGCCTCAAGCTGCAAATTCAAAGCCTTTTTTTGGGCTTGTCACATAGTCTTTACATGTAAATAGTTAGATGCACCTAGTGCTGCTTTTCGTTATTGATCAGTAGAGGCATAAACTAGTGTCTTGTTGTAGTTGCAGGAACAAGAACAACAAAAGGACCAGCCAACAAATGACTTGCAGGTGTGGTACTTGAACTTCCAATTTGTTCTCCATTGCAATTATCAACATTCCTTTATCTTCTCTCACTAAGTAGATTTTTGCATATTTGACATTAGGATGAAGAGTTTATGGATATGGACTCTCAGTTGAACAAACATAGCAAGCCTAAAAATGGTAACAGACGCCAGCGTGCTACAAGAAGTCAATGTAAATGCTAGTTTATCAACTAGTGCATTCTTGATTTTCCAATTTATCTTTGTCATTGGCTTAACCGTTAAGTTATCTTCCACAGCTATGGGCCATTCAACAACATCTCAACAAGCTGCAGAAAAAGAAGCAGCAGAAAACAAAAGGTTAGTCCACATTGGCTTCTACATACGAATGTTAAATAGGCGAACTCATCTGAGGAAAACTCAACATTGTCATTGTAGGAGCCTAGGAGGAAGCACATTTTTCTTTACTAGTTATATCATCCGTGATTGCTTGAATCTCAAGACATTTTTCGAACTAATCATATCCTTTACAGGCGATGTTTGAGAAGAAAGTCTACTAATTCCAAAAACCAACAGCCAGAACCGGCAGCAGAGGACTTGTTTGAATTAGAAGGCCTTGCTGTACCCTTTAACAGCCCGGTTCACATAGACGGTTTTGTTCTATCGCCTTTATCTGGCATTGAGGAAGTGAAACATGACAAGGAAAATGTAGCTCAACTTTCACGAAGGTCTTCTATTGGAAGACCATCGCGTAAAGCAGCCGAAAAGGTCCAGTCCTACAAGGAGATTCCAGTTAACATCAAAATGAGAAGAGTTGCATGAGCTTTATAGAGCTTGAAGAGAATATTTAACTCCATAATGTAATGTAAGCTGTGTTTATTCTATGTTAACCTGTTTTGTGACACCATTGATTGTTCTGTATATGGATGTATTTAAAACAGTTAACTGTCTCCATGGCTACAAACTAGTTCAATCATTTAACTTGGGATCATGTGGTTAGTTGTTTTTAAGGAGGAGCAAAGTTTTCCTTCCTTCATTCTATATAAGTTGGAAATGATATCATCTATGTTTCAATTTGTTTATCTGTTTTGATTTGGCACGGAATTTAAGAAAGTAAAGGAAACTCTTGAATCTTGTGGCTTTAAATTAAGGATATGTAGGATGTACCAAAATGCTCTTTAATCTTGTGGTATTAATCATGTTAGTCGGAAAATTAGAATTAAAGTGTTTCCAAAGGAAGAGATGTCTTTATTGAAACGGACTAAGAGAGAAAGTAAGACAAAGCAGAACCAAGTTCACTAGTCATTTGCTTCCACCTTGGACTACGGAAGTCGATCATTAGGGATAGAAGATTAGTAGGTAGTCAAGCGTTGTCTAATTCCTTGTTAGTTTTGTTATTATTATTCATATTCTATCTTATCCTTCGATTTTAGTATCAATTTTTTTTCCCTTTGCTTCGATAATGTGTCCTCTACTATGTTTTATCGTGAAATCTTTCTTTTATTATGCTTTACTTGAACGGAGGGGTCAATCGAAAACAACATCATTATCTTTATAAAGTAGACATAACACATAAGATTACGTACACACCACCATCAGATGACAATGAGTATGTTATTGTTGTTGTATTCACTCCCACCTTGGCTTGCTAGGCCAGGGTCATGCATAAGATTTTGATTTCTTGAAGGCCCATGGACTTATTTGGAGGAATAGTTAACCAGGTCCTTAGTTTCAACTTCTTCTTTTCTTGATAGGTTGTTTTTTATTGGGTATTCAATTTTCACATTGAAATTCGGTTAAGTCTAAATTCACAAAGGAAAATTCCACATTGAAGATAAAGGCTCCTTAATAGATTTGATTTTTATATATAGAGCTCTGATCGAAACTTCTAGCTAATGGTAAAAAAATACTTACCACTCAATGACAATGATGATTGGTTCAACTCTGGTAATCGATATCTACATGAAGTCCGGTTAAATTTGGATTCGCACCAAGAAATCTCATATAGGAATAAAGTGTTCCCTAACAAATCTGACTTTCATACACAAAAAGCTTAAATCAAAACTTCTGATTAAAGATGAAAAAATACTTACCACTTAATCATAATGGTTGTTGATTATAGTTTTAACTTTCAATGTAATATTTTTGTTCACAACAACTTTTATTTTTTTCTTAAAAAGATTCAATATATTAGCTACTCTTATAATTAATACTTGTGCTGACTTCCCTTGCTTCTTGACCCCATAAAATTAAAGTATCATAATGACTTGTCTGATGGCTCATTATAGTAACACAAATGATCATTTAATGTTCAGTAGTAGATATTGGGTGAAATTAGTTAAAAGTATGTGCAAATTGATATTCTAAATATCACAACTATTAATAAAAAGATAAAAAAAAAAAAATTTAAATAATTGTTCACCAATCATTTAAATTTTATCCATTTCAATTTGTTTGTTTTATTTTTCCTTTTAATCTATTTCAAAAAATATGTTGCTTTCTCTTTCACACAAGAATTTAAGACTACCAGATTAAAGATTAATTTCAGTACATTTGCCATATTTTTAAATTTAAGATGACAAGATTCAAATTTTCTTTTATTTTTTTAAACTTCGTATAAAATCAAAATAAAACAAATAAATTAAAACGGAGCACGAGTAATATCCTTATGGTGTGTCAAATCAATGCTACTACCTAAAAGTAGGTGGTTGTTGTTTTTTAATGTTTTTAGCGGCAACTACCGCTTGGGATTCCAAAGTTGAAGTATAGCTTTTGGGCCCTACTTTTGTGGAACCCAATAACATAATAATGGGCCCACCCACACAACATCGAGTTACGTGTTAAGAATCTTTTTTAACATATTTGGTATCTACATCGTTCGGTAGTTGATCAGAGTTATACAAGTATTAGTAATTTAAGGATTAGTTGTGAGAGAATTTATATATTATTCTATATATATATGTAAAGGAATTGTAACATCAACCGCAAGGTGCGATTACCTATACTTAGTAAAATAACGGATGGTAATAGATACCAAAAGTTAAAGACGGTATGAATAGGTTAATACCACAACGAACATGGTGATCTAGACTAACATTAAGCCTAAGACTACTTGAATATGCTAATACTAAGACAATGTTGGACTACCTATCCACGACCTGCATACCCTCATATCTAATGTCATGTCCTCAGCAAACTGGAGATGTGTCATATTTTGTCTAATCATATTTTCTCAATACTTCTTCGGTTTACCTCTACTTTCCTCGTCCTCACTAAGTCTAACCTCTCACACCCCCAAATTGGGGCATATACACAGTCATTTTCACATGTGCAAACCATCTCAACCTCTTTCTATCATCTTGTCCACCGTAGAGGTCACTCCAACTTTGTCCCGCTCATTCTTAATCCTATCACTAGCTCCTAGTAAAAAAAATCACTAATACTTTAGTAAATATTTCTCGGGGTATTCTATTTGGACAAAACTATTTAATTTGTACTTGTATTTTAGCCTTTTTAACGCACATCTATCCATTTTCGCACAATGTCAAACATGTGATGTTTAAAATTATATAGGACTAAAGTTTAGACATTTTTTTTCTAAAGTTCATACACAAACACTTGAACTTAAGTTATATGTGCATGAACTTCATTCAAAATTATCTGAGCATAAGGCAACAATGACTGACTTTATTCATATATGCCTGAAATTCAAGTCATATAAAACTTCAACTATATCTATCCGGACTATAATTTTAAGTCTAACTTTAGATATTGCATCTCTAAAGTTGTTTCGAAGTTGATAGATTTGTAAATCTTTATCCACACAAAAAGTGATTTCTTATCCAGTTTTCTTAGGAGTCGTTTGGTAGAGTGTATAAGAATAATGCTAAGTAGAGTGTATTGGTAATGATTACATTAATAATGCTTGTATTAGTAATGTTTACATTAATAATACATAGATTATTTCTTATGCATTGTTTGGCTTGGTGTATTAAATATTATATGCATTACATAAAAATATTTATTTACAAAAATACCCTTCACAATTATGATGGAAAAAATGTAAAAACGTTTTTAGGGGCAATGAGGTCTTTAACCATGTTAATGCATGTGTTAAAACCCATTGCATTACTAATACCTAGAAATCTATAGTATTAATACACACCTTAATACACAATCGAAAGAAAAAATGTACCAAATAAAGTATTATTAATACGCAAAATTAATACATGCATTATTTTGTTAATATACTCTACCAAACGACCCATTTTGTAAGTAGTAAGTACTTTTAATCTGGGCCTATATCAAGGCTTTTGAACGAATTCTCCTGCCCCCGATGAAATTGGGCTTTGCCTAGTGAAATTGGCCCATAATTGATGGGCTTAAAGTATTTTAAAAAGAAGGCCATTAATCGATCTATTTTTGCACTTTGAATACATGATAAAATGCTTTTATTATATACTTTCGAATCAAATTTTGAAAAAGTTTATGTGCAGTGTTTTCAAACGCTCATTACATGGATAAGTTAACCACTTAAAATATGTCTTATCTTTCAACTATATGCATTAGCCTCGATAAGTCGTAAAATCTCATGTCTGTTCCAATTGAGATTGATGTGTATAATTATAAGAAGTGTCATATTTTATATGATTAACTTATCTACGTAATACACGTTTGAAAATACACATAGAAACTATTTCAAAATTTGAGTCAGAAGTGTTTAATAGGAGTACTATTTCATGTGTTTATATGCTCAACTAAAACAAGATATAGTTTGAGCATTCAAATGGAATTTATGAATAAGTTTATAGGGTTTTAGATATGTTCCGCCAATAACTTTTTACATCTATAGGGATTAATTCTCTAACAACTTGAAGAGAAAGGACCCACTAAAGCCGCTATGAAATGCTATATATATATATATTAGTTTTAATATTCTTATTCATATTTTATTTTAAAATATAATTTTTTTACGAAGCAGTATCTCGTGACATCCAAATAGGCATATGCCTAGGAAGGGATGAGTCAAATGTTCATTTACTTCTCACAACAATTCCTATGAGAAAACAACTAACAAAACTTATTGTAGCACACCTGAATTTAATGTGTGCAAATAATTTGTATACCAAATCCATTTAATGTTCCAACCCTTCAATAGAGTAATAAATAAAGTTAGCTTAGAATAACTACTTATAAACTGATCTATTTATACACATAAGTTAAATTAGATTACATTAATTTGATATTTTAAATTATAAATTTAGATATTAAAAAATTATACGAAAATACTATAAGTTGCAATTTTTATACATATTGATATGATGAAAAACTACATTGTAAAATGTTCATCAAAGTTCTTAAGATTTGACTCTAAAAAGGAAATCATGACAACTAAAAGTAAACGGAGGAAACATCTATTTTTATTTGTCTAGTTTGAGAAAATAAGAAATAATTTATCACTTATAATTTTTAATTTATTGTTATTATTAATTATAGTCATTTTCCTAGACTTTTTCAAAGTATTTCATTCATTTCAACAGCGATATAAAATTGTCTTTCTATTATTGGTCTCTAAACTTAATTGACGTATGCTTTAATACAAATAGAGTGATAATTGAAGTGTGAAACTTGCGAAAAAAGTTATAGTTTAGATAGATAAATAGAACGCTGAATAATTAAGATATGAACTAAGGCGAATAACGATAGCTTAAGAGTTTTTTTTAATCATTACCTCTTTTTTGTTTATTGCATATATACAACTTTGAACTCATAATCTCACATTAATTGTCACTATAACTAGACAATTGATTTTAATCATGATAATAGACAATTGACAATTCTCCTCACACATGCAAATGAAAAAGAAAAAAGAACTCATTTCAATCCACAAATCAATTTTTTTTCTTCTAAAACATATCTCGTTTTTAAAAATGATTTCAT